TAAATATTCGCTTATCTTTTAAAATTAATAATCTCAAACACTAGCTAAGATGACCAGCTGGCAGTGAATAGGCTGTGGATCTAATGCAGTCACAAAAACAGTCACAGACTTCGTGTTGTTCAAAATGGTTAATAAAAATTGAAATGCAAATAAACATGAGCATAATAAAGGCAATAAATACTTGCATATATCTTGTCATTCTACTGGTAAAACGTTATTAAAACTATCGTAAATCGATTAAGTTTATAACAGGCAAATGATAACATGGTGCTATATCATTTTAGCACAATTAGTGTGTAGAGTACTAATAAATACTACAGACAGTCATCGCCACAATTAGCAGAAAAATACCAGTCAACGAATGAAATCAATTAACTATTTTTTTATCGGCAAATTTAAAAATGAATTTTGGCTCTTATAAAGATACATACTTATATAAATACATTTATTTGCTAATTGATTGGCACTACGTGGATAATAATTTGCCAACGAGTGTACTTATTTTTTTATTACAGATTATTACGTGTCATATGAAACAGTTTGATTTAGTTACATCATTATTGTTTATTAGATATTTTGTACTGACTAGTTTAATAAATATTTTTTTGCATTCGAATGGAGTGTCCTTATATATCCTCACTTCAAAATATAGTTTAATCTGTAATAGTTTAATTAGTGCACATGAATGCACATGAGTATATAGAGGGTGTCCCAGGCTGAGCGTGCATTAGAAGTTTCTAGAGAACTACAGTATCTAGATTGGAGATTTTTTGCACATCACTGTTTCAGAACGAGATCTATTCTATTAAAATATTTTCAATATGGCGGCACTTTCGGAAATACCGGAAGTTGACAGCAACTTTCTTATTTTAAATGGGTACCCCCACTTGTTATTACATACTTAAATTCTCTGTAAAATTTTATGAATTTTGATATGTATACTTAATATTAATTGTTTTTGAGATCAGTATAGCCTAAAAGACAAATTTAGTGATTATCACAGCCACTGTGGCATAAAGTGAAGACATATGGTTATTTATTTCAAAATTTAAATTGTTCGAATGTCATACAATATTGGCCGTAGCCGTCATGGAATTGAGCGATTAAAAAATTATCATAAATAATTTTTTTTCAAATGGAAACCCATTTTTTTCATTTCACCAGTGAAAATGTTTTTTAATTCATTACTTTTTGATTATACTTACATGTTCTTATACCTAAAATAAATTGTTTTTAGTTATTTAAGATTTAGATTTAAATCGTATATTTTTTTGTTCTTTAATGCTTATGACCTTAAATGTGACGCCATGTAAAAACTATATCTGGCCAAGTCATATTGCCATCAGCTATCACTAAAATACGACATATATTTTTATAAATTGTTATGTTTATGTATTGTACCTAATTGTTTTAATAATTATCCTTGTTGATTAGGAAATAATATTTTGCAAGATAGGTATACTATTTTAAACAGGTTGGCCGTGTCAGATTGTATTATTCATAGACTTAAAATAAAATATAGACTGAGCATCTCATTCATAAATAGCTGGAACATGCGGTCAGACAATGTCTTGTTATTGTTTTAGGTTATAACGAGTGCGACACGAGCGATAGATAGGTTGTCTCTGTCGTAACGGTCGTTCCCTGACGACTCTGCCGAGAAACACAACACTGTCTTTCGTTTTTCAAGTACACCTGAACTCTTCGTATCATAGCCGGGTAATTTTTTTATTTTAATGAAGCTATAATTAAATTAAAAATATATCGTATTTAAACTTATTTATATTTTATTAAGATTTAGAACAGGTTTTTAAATAAAAGTTTAGAAAACCATCACTCTGGGCGATGTGCAACAAGAGTACCTTTTTTATAGGAAAAAGTATGTAGTTTTCAAAAAATCGACCCACGTTGCAAAAAAAATAACCTCAAAAAAGTTATTCACGAAATAACCCCCTACCCTTGCAAAAACTACCCTTTTCCTACGCTTTTCCAAATAATTTTTCAGTATCACCATTTGATTTAGGGTCAAAATTTATTGCAGAGGATTTTTTTTCGAAGTCTTATCTCGTTTTTTAAGCCTACAATTTCAAAACAACCGTTTTCTAATTTCTTTTCTCCCTGTAACATCCGCTGAACCAGAAAGAACTTTTTCTAAGCTGAAAATAATAAAAAGTTTTGCTAGGTCTACTATGTCCCAAAATCGCCTAAGTTCGCTGGCCATAATATCAGTTGAGAATGATCGTGCAAAAGAGGTATTTGGACAGCCTCGTAAACAAATTCCCTTTGTTAAGGTAGAGGAAAAAGGAATAGACTTTCTAATATACGATAGGGTACTTCATAAATATTTAAAATTTCTTGTTCACATTTGTGTTTTAGTTATTAGTAGTTAAATGTTGAGTTGTTTTTTTTTCTAATAAAACTTTAACTTGCATAAATGTTTGTTTTCGAGTTTAAGTATTTTAAGTGTACTATAATAATAAATAAATAAATGTTGAAACAATTATCAAAATATAAAAAATATCACATCGTGGCTCTTGTTAAAAAAATATGTTTCAAGCAGATATCACAATAATGATGTAGTTGAAGGAATTTTTGAATATACTTAGGGGGGCCCCCTAACAAAGTTTGCAGGGGGGCCCCGCGAGAATTTGCCACGCTACTGGTTACAATACGGAAATAGATTGTAATTTTGTGATTGCAGTGATATATAATTTATATGGTTTTGTAACAAATTGCTCGCTATTTTATGGCAAAACAATCTTTACGTAAATATTCGCTTATCTTTTAAAATTAATAATCTCAAACACCAGCTAAGATGACCAGCTGGCAGTGAATAAGCTGTGCAGTCACAAAAACAGTCACAGACTTCATATTGGTCAAAATGTTTAATAAAAATTGCAATGCAAATAAACATGAGCATAATAAATGCAATAAATAGTTGCATATATCTTGTCATTCTACTGGTAAAAAGTTATTAAAACTATCATAAATCGATTAAGTTTATAACAGGCAAATATGATAACATATTGCTATATCATTTTAGCACAATTAGTAGGGTACTAATAAATACTACAGACAGTCGTCGCCACAATTAGCAGAAAAAACCAGTCAACGAATGAAATCAATTAACTAATTTTTTTATCGACAAATTTAAAAATGAATTTTGGCTCTTATAAAGATACTTATAAATACATTTATTTGCTAATTGATTGGCACTACGTAGATAATAATTTGCCAATGAGTGTACTTATTTTTTTTACTACAGATTATTACGTGTCATATGAAACAGTTTGATTTAGTTACATCATTATTGTTTATTAGATATTTTGTACTGACTAGTTTAATAAATATTTTTTTGCATTCGAATGGAGTGCCCTTATATATCCTCACTTCAAAATATAGTTTAATCTGTAATAGTTTAAGTAGTGCACATGAATGCACATGAGTATATAGAGGGTGTCCCAGGCTGAGCGTGCATTAGAAGTTTCCAGAGAACTGCAATATCTAGATTGGAGATTTTTTGCACATCACTGTTTCACAACGAGATCTATTCTATTAAAAACTATTTTCAATATGGCGGCACTTCCGGAAATACCGGAAGTTGACAGCAACTTTCTTATTTTAAATGGGTACCCCCACTTGTCATTACATACTTAAATTCTCTGTAAAATTTTATGAATTTTGATGTGTATACTTAATATTAATTGTTTTTGAGAAAAAAAAAATATTTCAAATTTTTGGAGGAAAAAAACTGCCTGTCAAAAAACCCAGTATAGCCTAAAAGACAAATTTAGTGAGTACCACAGCCACTGTGGCATAAAGTGAAGACATGTGGTTATTTATTTCAAAATTTAAATTGTTCGAATGTCATACAATATTGGCCGTAGCTGTCATGGAATTGAGCGATTAAAAAATTATCATAAATAATTTTTTTTCAAATGGAAACCCTTTTTTTTTTTCATTTCACCAGTGAAAATGTTTTTTAATTCATTACTTTTTGATTATACTTACATGTTCTTATACCTAAAATAAATTGTTTTAAGTTTGGCCATGTCATATTGCCATCAGCTATCACTAAAATACGATACGAAATATATTTTTATAAATACACTTTATAAAGTTTTACCAGCAGTATTTATAATATACGAAATTCGAATAATTAGTTTTTGACAGAAGGAAATAAATTGTCTGATGGTTTGACACTTAATGTCAATGGAAGCTAGATAAAATAAAGAAAAAGTTTGTTTTAGATATGTATAATCATACATGTATAATCAAAAAGTAAAGCATTCAAAAACCTTTCCACTAGTGAAATTAAAAATGTGGTTTCCATTTGAAAAAAAATGACTTATGATAATTTTTTAACGCTCAATTACATGACAGCTACGACTAATATTATGACATTCGAACAATTTAAATCTTGAAATAGATAGCCACCTGTCTTCTCTTTATGCCACAGTGGCTGTGGTAATCATTAAATTTGTCGTTTAGGCTATACCGACTTTTTTGACGGGCAGTTTTTTTCCTCCAAAAACTTTGAATATTTTTTTTTCAAGAACGGTTAACGTTAGGTATAGGGTGTTTGATATCAAAATTCATAAAATTTTACAGAGAATTTATGTATGTAATAAAAAATGGGGGTGCCCCATTTATTTTTTCCGGTATTTCCGTAAGTGCTGCCATATTGAAAATATTTTTAATCGATAGATCACGTTGTAAAACAATAATGTGCAAAAAATCTCTGATCTATTGTAGTTATCTAGAAACTTCTTATGCACGCTCAGCCAGGGACACCCTGTATATAGTCACTATTTATATATAAACGGTTGTGGGTTGGAGCTATTTCATATGCTTTTTTGCATGATTTTACCCATTTCCATTATTTCATTCAATAATATGATTTTCTATGAATAATTGAATCATTTCATTATTCATAATCATTATTGTATTCGCCAATATTCTCTATATTGAATAAGCATTTTAATGGATATATGTTTTAGGTGGAAGTGGATTCTACACCGGAGCATCCGTACTTTGTAATGGGCCATGGTTGGGCCAGTTTTAATCCCGATAGGACCCTTCAATGTTACGGACTTAAGGTGCATCGGTTGCAAGTAAGTTATTCACAGTAAATAAGTATTAAGTTTGGATAATTTGAATATCAGCAAGACAATATTATGTGGTATTTACGTATTACAGGTAGGACCTCTAAGCGCAATTTTGTCCAAATTGAGATTTTTAGTTTATTAGAAGGGGAATAATATAATCCATCAATGGATTACTATATATTTCAATATTTTCGTATAATTACGCGGGAAAATGGAAAAACAGTTCTCCGTGTAAGCTTCCCCGTAACTAACTTGTACGAAGTTTTTATTAGCTCCTGTAATATTCATTTTTCGTAAATACGAGGTCGTGCCTTTTAGCCCTCGATATATATTTTTTTCTACTACTCATAACTTACAAGATATTCACAAAAATAATAAACAACAGAATACAAAACACGCTAAACACTGAACAACCACGAGAACAAGCAGGCTTTAGAAGCGGCTTCAGCACGATTGATCATATACATACATTAAGAGAAACTATCAGCCGAACAAAAGAATACGAATAACTTCTACTAGCCATAGCCTTTATAGACTTGGAGAAGGCTTAAGCAAAAATAGAAGCCGTAGCGAAACAAGGCATTGAGAGGCCTTACTTAGAAACACTCGCAAATATATTCAAAGAAGCCAAAGCAAGAGTAATGATATATAAAACAACCCCAGAGTTCCCAACTGGCACATACTGACACAGTACGACAGGGAGACGCGATATCCCCAAAGCTGTTTACAGCAACACTAGAAGAGATCTTCCGTCAACTAAACTGGAGGACAGACAACAGATGGATCAGAAAAATTACGGCATGGTAACCACGAGGAATCAAGGGAACTAGAGGAAAACCAAACATGGGATGGGACCACGACATAAGAAAATTCGCAGGGATAACTTGGGCCCGCATTGCCAAAAATAGAGAAGAATGGGCCCAACTACCAAGAGAGTATCTAAATATGTGGGGGAGGCTACACCATAATTGGCAATGGTTGAATAAGCTGAAAATGATGATGATGATATATTTTTTTACAAACAAAGTTTCTCCATGTTAAAATATGAGTAGCTGGATGTAGATAATAGAGAAAGTTGAAGAATTAAAATAAGAATTCTGGAAGAGATAATTTCAAATAGACATATATCTATTATATGTAGTTATTATTCACTCCTACAACTCCCAGTGGATGACAACAAGAATACAACTTTGAGAAACACATCAGTAGTATTAGTAAGTATTGAGCAATAAAAAGAACTGGAAGAAAGGAATATTTGTTCAGCAGTTAAAAGACCATACCATAACCTGGTATGCCGATGCTTTCAAATCCAAAGCAGGATCAAGGACATGTGGGGACAATCTCCGCAACATGGTGGGGATTATAATTGCTCGGTACACTGCAAGTTTCGTTTTTGTACTCAAGTCATGATTATAGAAAACCCTGTCTTTCAATTTCCAGAATGCTCTTGAGGCGCTGATAATCCTGTGCTGAACAGAGTCAATATTGGCCTTTTCCGAAATCAAACTGCCGAGGTAATTGAATTCCGCCATTTATTCCAATAGTTCTTCTCCGATTTTTATAGCATTGTTGTGATCTTCGGGGGGAGTGCACATGATTTTAGTTTTATCGATGTTCAGTTTAAGACCCAAAGCCGCGTATGCCCAGGTGTATATGTTCAACATATCTTGTAATTGCTGTAACGTTTTTGAAACTAGAGCGCAGTCATCAACGTATTGATGTTCTGTGATGAATTTTGTACGTGTTTTTGCCCCGGGTCTTTTTATGTTGTACAGACCGCCGTCGTATCTGTATCTAATGCCCAATCCTCTCTCCTGCAGTTTGTTATTCACTATAATGGAGAGCTCTGCCATGAATGTCCTCTAACTCTCAGTGGATGACTCACCAAGAATATACAACTTTGAGAAACACCTCAGTATATTATTGAGCAATAAAAAGAACTTGAAGAGAGAAACGTTTGCTCAGCAGTTAAAAGACCATACCATAACCTGGTATACCGATGCTTTCAAATCCAAAGCAGGATCAAGGATAGAAGTATTTGGACGAAAACTAAATACTCCGAACCAAAAAAAAATACATGATATAGACTAAAAGCCAAAACTAGTAAAGACAAAATTACAAAAGCAATGAAAATTCCATTTTCCCTACTTTTTGTTACTCTAAGCCTTTTATCTGTCTGATCCACCGCCGCCCGATGTATAATGAGGCGTAGAACATCCGAACACCGAACCAACTGAGGAATTCATCTCAAACAAGCGGCCTCGCTTATTAGTAGCTCAAGGGTTGAGAGGCTGTTTGTACAGCTGGCCACTTTGGCGTTACGTCGACCGAGGAAAGTGATTATTTTAAAACAGTGCCGCTCTCTGTGTGCGTGTATGTGTATCTCGGTTGACGTAAGACCGAATTAAATGCCACAAGTCGAAAAAGATTCGCATTTCTTCTTCTTTTTTTAATTCTGTTTTTTTTACTTCCGGCGTTGAGAGCTACGGAAGAATGTTATGACTTAATTTTTAATTATTTTTTTTTTATAATTTTCATTTACTTTTTGTCCTCTTCCATGAAGTTTTTCTTAAATTTTTATGTACCTATCTAAAGAATTTTATTGTATTTTTGATAATTTTTTTTCCTTTTATATATAAATAATAAAAGTGGTTCACCCCTATAACTTTTTTATTTTTTTAGATAAAAAATCGAAATTTGGTATGTTAGTATATGACATAAATTAGGGTTCAATTGACGTATTCAATTATTTTAGGCCACTTCCTGTTTCACCGGAAATGACTACAACTTTTGATTTTTAAATGGCATCCTCGGTATTTTTCCACTTTTTTTGATAGAAAATGACACTCTGGATAAAATGATATATCATATGTCAACTTTTGGCATTTTTGCTTAAAACAAAATTGTATGTTAAATTTCAATCTAGTGTCATGGCTGTGTTAAAAACACTAAATTTTTAATCAAGGAAACTTGGAAAATAAATTTGATCGTCTAATGTTTTAGGGTCTTGTCCTGGCTAGTTAAAAGATGTTCAAATCGTATTTTTAATCATATCTCAATTTTTTCAAATGAAACGAGGGTGGCTCATTTTTTACGAAAAAAAAATCATTTTTTTACGAATAATTTGATACCACACACTTGGTATTTCGAGTCAAGTTATCGTTATGAATCGCATGTTGCAATTCCAAATAAATCATATTCAAAAATGTCAAATTTTAACATATGATATGTCATTCTATTCAGAGTGCCATTTTCTATCGAATAAAGTAACAAAATACCGAGGGTGCTATTTAAAAATCAAAAGTTGTAGTCGTTTCCGGTGAAACAGGAAATGATCGAAAACAATTGAATACGTCAATCAATCCTAATTTATGTCATATACTAACATACCAAATCTCAATTTTTTATCTAAAAAAATGAAGAAGTTATAGGGGTGAGCCACTTTTGAGACGCACCCGGTATAATGCATAAAAGAAGATTGATTGGCAATGAAATATACAGGGTGAGTCTTAACTAAATACAAATATTTCCAGGTCTGATAGATCTCGATAAAAGAAACATATTTTTTCTTTACCATTTTTCAAAATAAGTTCCAAAGTTCAAAATAACCGAGTTATTTTTCTTTAAAAATTTCCAAAAAAAATATTAAGCATTGGATCTTGTCTGGGTTTTCTTTCTTCTAAATTTAACCTATTACCTATGTTGCCATATTATCAAGAAATTATGGTTTTTAACTAAAAACTAAAAAAAAAACCAAAACATTTTTTCAAAAAATTCCAAATTTTTAAAAAAAATTTCTTTTACGAAAAAACCTCATCGTATTTCTGGTTTCGAAATATACTACCGCTAAAAATATGTGCACTTCTATAAGACTCGCCCTGTATATACTAGGGTGCACCAAAAAAAATTTCCGAAACGAGTCGATTAAATGAAAAATTATATCAGATCTTTTTTGAAGACCCTTCAATTTCCTACAAAAATTTGTATTGATTATAGCATAATCACATGTGGGAATGATTTTTTTACTCTTCAGTAACCAAAACCTCTAGGCACTTTTACGAAAATATACATTTTCAGTGTTCAATATTAATTTTTTCTTTGTCCATTTCAGGTGGGCGACGTGCTAGTCTCCCTAACACCCCGCGACACACCACCAACACCCAACTCCACGTCCGCCTCCTCGCGAGGCACCACCATAATGACCACCGCCACCACAACCACCATGTCCGCCAGACCGTACCCAGTCGTCAACCACAACAACACGCCGACCAGCAACAGCGTCAGCACCATCAACCACGGCGGCAACCTCTTCAGTCCTCCATCCTCGTCGCTGGCGATAAGCCTGTCGTCCAATCACCACAGGCCCTTGTCCCATTCTCCGCCCAAGCCTGTCAGGTCGCCCGAGTACATCCTGTCGACCCCTGTGGGGCAGGCGTTGCACTTTTACAACTCTGCCATCGCCACAGATGCGAAAGGATTGCCGCAAACTGTGCCGCTGCAGCTGGACGCGGAGAGCAGGAAGAGGAGATGGAGCGCTCCCGATGCGATTGAGGAGGAGGAGATGGCGCAAAGGAGCCGGATGAGTGTTTTTGACGGGAGTATTAAGAAGGAGTGATATTAGCGATATCGATACGGTTTGAAATGCCAGGCAGGGAGGAGGGTTTGAATTGTGTTTTGGGACCTACCGCGCTGTGTATGTTCCGTTTTTCTGAGTGAAAAATTGGATATATAAAGGTGCGGTATATAACTCCCTGTAGAGTGTTTCGATTGGGCTTTTATTGATGAGAGTAGTCAATATATACCTGTTTAATCACATTGCAAACTATCAAGCACCTAACAATCAATTATACGAATATGTAGCTAAACTTATTTATATGTCAGAAATGGCCAAAACATCATCATTTTCAGCTTTATTCAACCATTTCCATTTATGGTGTAGCCTTGTTTGATCCCTCACTCGGAGGCCTTAGGCCCATTGCTATAGCCCTGTATTGTTGTACCAAACCTTCCTCTCATTCTTTCTTTGCGTTAAAGCACTTCCAGCTATTTGCAAAGTTCCCGACGTCTTTGATGTTGGCTTGTGCTACTTCCTCTAGTCCCTCCAAAAAACCTTGCCCTAAAGTTTTAAAGCGTCGGTATTCCAGTGCCGAACAGTGGCACAGCAGGTGGTATCCCTCACATATTTAGATACTGTCTTTGTAGTTAGACCCATTGTTCTCTATTGTTGGCTATGCGGGCCCAAGTTATCCCTGCTAATTTCCTGATATCATAATCCCATCTCAGGTTTGGTCTTCTTCTAGGTCTCTTAATTCCTCGAGGGTATTTTTGTGGTCCATCTGTTTTGCGTCTTTCTGGACAAGTGTCCTGCTCATTGCCACTTGAGGGATTTGATTCTGCGGATGACATCTATTACCTGGGTTTTTTGTCGTATTCACTATATTCTTTTACGATCTCTCTTGGTTATTCCCAGCATATTTCGTTCTATTGAGCGTTGTGCGACCTGCAGTTTCCTTATGATGTCCGTTTTAAGTGTCTAGGTTTCACATGCATCGGTCATGACTGGTATTACACATTGGTCGAATGTTTTCTTCTTTAGATATAGTGGCATTCTAGATTTTAATATGATTGAGTTTCTTCCACAAGTATTCCATGCTAACTTAATTCTTCTGTTGGTTTCTGGTAGTACGGATCCTGAGCTATGTTTTAGTTGTCCCAAATCAATGTCACTTTGCAAAATGCTTAATCAAAATTAGGCATATTAAACAATGATGATATTTTCTGTACACTTCTGCAAAAAGACTGCCTGTTTTCAGTCATTTTACAAAATGCCAAATCGAGAATTGAGAGCCAGGTAGATTAAAAAACTGTCAAAGTTTAGTGAGCTATGAGCATAAGCATATTGAATAATTTACGCTTTAATAATAATATCCCATATTTTTCTATATAAAAACAATAATTATTTATGTCAAAATTTTATTATGTTTGAAAACAACTTGAATCCTATTTCTTAAATTTTAATTATAAATAACATAATTTTAAAAAATGTCTATACCTATGTGGCGGATTCATCTTTCCAAAAAAATCCTTAAATATCTAGACCCTTAAATGTTAGAATTAAAGAACATAAAGATTATTTAAGAAAGGGAGATTTTCACAAATCTAAGATTTGTCAGCATTCTTAGGACACAGGACACAGAATAAATTTTAATAACGCCAAAATTATAATGAAAGAAGCGATAGCCTCTAAAAGAAAAATAAGAGGCTTTTTTAATTCAATCTAATAAAAATAAATGTATTGCTCATGGCTCATGCATCTGTAGATGTTAGTAATGTATGGCAATCGCTTCTTTGACTTTAAATAACAATAGATACAACAAGATAAATAAACATAACATACGTAAATTTAAAAATAATCATACAGAAAGTTTGGGGCTTTTTGGTTTCACCTTATTAAGTAATTGTTATCAGGTAGTAACTGTTAATTTTGAAGTTTAAATATCAAGTTAAAAATGTCATTTTAACAGAACGTCAACGGTTTCTTGTAGACGTATCTGTTTTAAAAAAGTAAAGTGTTCTCGAATAGTTGAATTTAAATATTTTAAATAGTTTTTTCTTTATTCTTTGTATTTTTTTGCTTCCGACGACGGAAAGAGATAACTTTCCGAAACGTTAAGCATTTTTTTTCCTTTGTTAGTCAAATTTGTATTACTGTAAACATAACTTCTGACAAGCAGCGTCCGTTTAGGTTTAACGCAAAAAATAATTATTTTATTGTGTAGATTTTCTTGCAGTGCAGTGGCGAAATACCCATAAAGGATTTTTTTGGAAACATAATTTTAAATACAAAATATATCAAAACCTTAATATTAATATCTCATTTAATTATTACACTCTGTAATTCGATTCTGTGTACAGGGCTGGTTCTTTCTGGAACTTTGCTTTCTTTTAGAATAAAATGAATTTAGAGCTTTATAATAAACATCCCCATACTCTATTTAACAGAATTATCACTTTTTGTACCATTATTTCCAAATTTTGAAAGAGAAGTTCAAGAATTCTCGTTGGATAAATTTTGGTTAGTTATACCAATCTCGTAAAATGTTTTGTGCAATCTGACTAGTCTTCATTAGGCATTTTGCAAAGCGACTGAAAACAGATAGGTTCTTTGTAAAATATCCTTCTTTTGTTAAAAACGGCGGCGTTTTATAATTTGCCTGGTCTTTTTGCAAAATGCCGAGTTATTCGATACGCCTGCTACATATAGAATACTTCTACTATTTCAAGTGTTGTGTTGTTTATTAGAATGTCTTTTCTGTCTGCTAGTTCGTTGTACATTACTTTAGTTTTTGCTAAATTCGTTTTGAGACCTACTTTATTGCTGGCTGTATTTAGTTCGTTAATTTGTGCTTGTAGTTCTTCAAGACTATCGGACCACCCTGTATATAATAATTTCGAAATAAAAATTGAAATAGTGAGGGGAATATATTAAAACAGAAAGAAAAAATTAATCGGCAAGCTCTCAAACGGTTGCAGACGGTGCCTCGTGCATCGTTTGCTTCCTGGTTTATATTTTTTGGGATCGTTGTCATCGCTTGCTGATTCCTTACCGTACTGATGATGCTGGAAGGCAGTTACACTAGTGTACACTGATGTAGGTGTGGTTGTTGTGTGTGAGTGTGAATGTCTACTATAGTGTATATTGGTGTATGGTTACGAGTTTGTTGAGGGCTTGCCGATTAATTTTTTCCTTTTGTTTTTATAATAATTTCTTTATATTTTTCTATAGTAAAGTATATCTAAGCAATCTCTTATTTTTTAAAAATTATCGTTCTAGTACAAGCCAGTACTGACTTCATTATTTACAATACCCGCTCATTATCACGTTATAAAAATAGTTCTAAACATCTGCTAACACGTAAATGCAAAATGACATCACGCGCTGCATATCCATTCAAAACACATTCATAAATATTCCGTATTGATTTTTACACTTACGCGAGTTCAGAATGTTTGTGAAAAAAAATGAATCGTCATAATAGTTTGCAATGTGCTAAGTGAAAACCAATAAATCAAAAACTCGTTCCTATTTCAGACAATATACACTTTCCCATTTTCAAATTAAGAAAAAGAAAAATTTTACAACAAAAAACGTTGTTACATTATTCTAACTTGCGTGATGGCCTTATTATACACATTAATAAAACGCGACATCTGTAAGCCCAGATCGAAAGCTCGAGTCAGAAACTTAATTTATTAGGTCTTGAATTGAAACACCCTGTATAATCTGCCGTTGGTATTTCATAAGTAAATCGATAAAAATCGCTGCGTATATATATATTTTTTTTAAATATATTGAGTGACAACAAAATCTTTGCCTAGGGTGCCGTTTGATTGCATTTTATTGAATATTTTTGAAAAATTTCGGGTTTAATATATCCAAGCATTAACATTAGTACATAATTTTATATACAGGGTCGCTTTTATGTATGGAAACAGTCGATTATTAGGTAGAATATAGGAGGTACCGCAAAAACTAAAATACAAAAGTTATAGGATTTTTAATTATCTATTAGCGAGTAATAAATTTGAGTATACAGGGTCGTTCATAAAGTCGTGGCACATCAAAGTTTCATTTTTTTAAATAGAACCCCCCGTATATTATTACAAATTTCAATTCTTCCTTTAATTCTAAGCAAAAATCGAAATTCACACAATGTACTTCAAACCAACCGTTTCCGAGTTATTGACTTTTGAAAATATAACTTAAACAATATTCGATTTAATTAATTTCGATGTGTTTGGTTTGATTTAATGATGCCATTCTGCCGAAACTGTGATACTGTTGTAACGGGTTTTTAAATTCCTATTAGCTACTAGTAAATTTAAGTATACAGGTCGGTCATAAAGTTATGTCACATCAAACTTTATTTTTTTTTAATGAAACTCCCTGTATATTATTGCATATTTCAATTATTTCTTCAATTTTAAGCAATAATCGTAATACACAATGTACATAAATTGAAGAATTGAAATGTTAAACAAAAATTTTCTAATTTCCAGACTTGATATACTCTCATTTTATACATCTATGAATGCTAACCTGAGAACTAATGTCAAATATTATTAAGTATCACAGTTTCGGTAGAATGACATCGTTAAATGAAACTGCATCGAAATTAATTAAATCAAATTGTTTAAGTGATATTTTCAAAAGTCAATAACTCGGAAACGGTTGGTTTGAGGTACATTGTGTGTATTTCGATTTTTGCTTAGAATTGAAGGAAGAACCGAAATATGCAATAATATACAGGGGGTTCCGTTTAAAAAAATTAAACTTTGATGTGCCACGACTTTATGACCGACCCTGTATACTTAAATTTATTACCCGCTAATAGATATTTATAAACCCTATAACTTTTATGTTCAACTTTTTGCGGTACCTCCTGTATTTTACCTAATAATCGACCTTACATTTCCATACATAAGAGCGACCCTGTATAAAACTGTGTAAAATAAATCCAAATACTGATTTTTTCTAGCTTAAAAATAAACAGTTTTTGTCTACTACTAATAGAAAAGTTTTAATTGTCAATGTCAAACTTCGCTTGGCCATAAATCTTTCTGTTAAAACAATTTTTCATTAGCTTACACAGGACTATCTTAGTTGGCTTTTGAAAAAACACAGCTTCATATTTTAGTGCCTGTCTAACAGTAACAGTTGCTGTCTGTCATTTTAATTCACAGATAAACTGCATTTTCTGTCGTTTTTCGGGATGTCGTCTGTCGAAATATTCCCTAGCTCGTTGGACAAACTTACGTCAAAATTATCGGCCATATTGGCTTTAGAAAAAACCGCTCTGGGCTGCCATTCTAAATAATAATACGAACTTGTGGTATATAATCAGGAGAAAAATTGGCGCTTTGTAAATATGTTTAAAAATATACAGAGAGTTGAAAATTCCTTGGTATTTTTAGTTGAATATGTTGGTTTCACCGACTTGAAAAACGATCACCTTAAAAGATTCATGTATTTTAAAGTTATATATATTGTGTTCTAGTGCACCGATTTTAATGATTTTTAAGCAATTTGTAGCTAAATTAATTGACTTTTTAATATATTTTTCTAAATTAAAAATCAAAGTTGCCATCGGTCAATTATACGAGGAAAAACCAAAAGGTTGATATTTTGATGAAAGTTTGAAACACCCTGTGGAGTATACTAACAAAGCAAGGAATTTAAAAATTATTTTACCATCTAGGTGTACCTTTTCTGGATAGTTTGTTTTTCGGTTCATCTCAATAGCTTCATTTTTTTTGAAGATATTCGTTTTTGAAGAAGACATTAACATTTTTCTGTATTTTTTACATTAAAACTATTCCTTTTGGTCTCTCCAAAAAAATCCTTTATGGGTATTTCGCCACTGCACTGCAAGAAAATCTACAAAATAAAATAGTTATTTTTTGTAAACACTTCTGCGTTAAACCTAAACGGACACTGCTTGTCAGAAGTTATGTTTGTTATGTTATGTTTTTTTAATTCAATCTAATCAAAATAAATGTATTGCTCATGCATCTGTAGATGTTAGTAATGTATGGTAATCGCTTCTTTGATTTTAAAGAACATTACATAAATAAACATAACATACGCAAAATTTAAAAATAATCATACAGAAAGTTTGGGGCTTTTTGGTTTTACCTTATTAAGTAATTGTTATCAGGTAGTAATTGATAATTTTGAAGTTTAACTTGATATAATGTCATTTTAACAGAACGTCGACGGTTTCTTGTAGACGTATCTGTTTTAAAAAAGTAAAGTGTTCTCGAATAGTTGAATTTAAATATTTTAAATAGTTTTTTTCTTTATTCTTTGTATTTTTTTGCTTCCGACGACGGAAAGAGAAAAACTTTCCGAAACGTTAAGCATTTTTTTCTTTGTTATGCAACTTTGTATAACACTGCAAACATAACTTGTGACAAGCAGTGTTCGTTTAGGTTTAACGCAAGTGTTTACAGAAAATAACTATTTTATTTTGTAGATTTTCTTGCAGTGCAGTGGCGAAATACCCA